CCTGAAGAACAAAAATAACTACTCACAAATCATATCCTTGTTCAAGATCAGAGGTGTATTGAATATGCTTAAGGATCTGAACATATAATCTTCCACCAAATAAATCAACTAGCATCAACTACAAGATGTAATCAACACTACTAGCAACCCACACGTACCAATATGAGGTTATGGGACAAAGATTGAATAGAAGAGATGAACTAGGGTTTGAGATGAGATGGTGTTGATGAAGACGTTGATGAAGATTGGTCCTCCAACGATGAGAGGATCGTTGGTGATGTAGATGACTTCGATTTCCCCCTCTCGAAGGGAAGTATCCCTGATGAAATCGCTCCACTAGAGAGCAAAAGTGCTCCTACCCAGGTTCCGCCTCGAGAGGGCGACGCTTCATCCCGAAAATCTTCTTCTAGTTTTTCTAGGGCAAATAGCATCATATAGGAGAAGAAGGGCCCCGCGGACTCTCAAGTGGGTCCCCTCCTATTATTTCTGCCAATATTTTTTATTAATTTCAAAACAACTCTTGGTAAATTTTCAGGTCATTTGAAGCTCCGGAGAATATCTATCTCTATTGTAGCTTTTTCTGGTCCAGAACTCCAGCTGTCGTCAATCTCCCTCTTCATGTGAAACTTGCAAAATAGGAGGGAAAAGGCATTAGAATTGCTTCATAAAGTGAAATAATAGCGCAAAACATTATAAATAATAGTAGGAAAACATGATGCAAAATGGTCGTATCAACCTGCCGTGGTGGGGACTCCGGCTCCATATTCACGCCGTAGCGTGGCGGGGACGGTGACTCCTCCTTAACCCGCGCCGACGACGGTTGGCGCCGGGCCCATTTGACGGAGCGAGCACTCCGTCATGATCTTCATCTCACAGACGAATTCTTCATCCGTCAGAGCCGCCTCCGTGAGGAGGCGCGGCCGCTGCTCCGGCTATTGTGGTGGTTTCTGGTCCTCCTCGTTGCCAGAGTAGAGGACGATCTCCTCTTTGCCGAAGGAGCCGGCCGCCATGGATGCCGAGGGGCCCGGAGAGCGCGGGCAGCGGCGCCAAGATCCTGAGGATGAACTCTCTTCGCCACCGCCTACCGATGTGGACCACCACGACTTCGGCATCGCCGCTGTAGGGGGGGCTTGGGGAGGAAGAGGAGGGGATCAGAGAGGAGGAGGTGTGCATGTGCATCGCCGGAGCACGACTTATATAGCCGCCGCCAGGCCAAGCGGCCGGTCAGCCCGCTTCAATGTGGCGTAGCAGACGGAGTTGGTTTCTCGGGACGCGGTGTCCGCATTGAAGCAGCGGCGCCCGGGAGGTCACGTCCGTCCGACCAAATCGCAACGCCGACACGAATGCGGCGCGGGCATTCGATGAAAAGCGTGG